GCTGCTCTTTAGCTGTGATGACTCGCCATGACTCTGGCAAGAAGTTGTTCACCCTGCACATGGTGGCATGCCGCAAACTGACTGGCATCAGAGGGCTTCCGGTGGCACCTTTGATCGGATGGTGATCGAGGTCGAAGAAGAAACTCCCACCTAAGCTCCCAAGGCCTTGCCCGAAACCATGCTGCAGCCATTCGTCAAATCGCTGCACACCTCCGGGAGGCAACACGGCACGCAACAACTCACGATGCTTCATGTTTGCGATGTCTTCGACTGACAGGATGTTCTTCTGACGCTCTGCAAGGAACCTGTACTCTTCCAAAAGCTCTGCTTCAGTGGACATGCAAAATATGTCGCCAGTAGCCTGGAGTGACCTAAAAAACTTGGCAGCAAAGTCCTCTGCAATCTCCTGAGGGGACCCTGGGCCAAGCCAAACGCAGGTTGCCATGTTGATTGCTGCACCCATCACACGCAGACGCTTCGTCGGCCAACCCAAATGCTCTGGTCCAAATGTCATCGACACGACATGATGTGTAGAGCCCAACTCCCTGCCCAAAGTATCCTCCATGGGGTACTTCGGGGTGCACTCAACAAAAGCGATGTCTTCTTGATTCCTACTGCCCCGCACAACCCGCTCTGCTAACCAGATTGAATGGGGGACCTCGCATGCACTGGCAGTCTGCTCTTGGGCGCCTTCTGAAGACCACGGTGTGCAAGAAACTCCTGCGACGTTGACCATGAGGGGCCTATTGACACCTTGCAGCGAGCTTGCCAAGCACTTGGCATCGTCGCCGATGCTCAACAGAGGATGAGCTGGACATACCTGCTTGTGCTTGTAGCACCAAGACCCAGCACTGTCACTGAACAGGTTCTCTTTGTGAAGCAAAATCCAATTCTTGATGTCTGCATATGCATCTTTGATCTCAGCACTTGACATGCTCGGAGCTGGAAGCGGCATGGCAGCTTCAATCCAGTCTCTTGCAAACTGCGGCAAACGATCTGCAATATCACCGAATACACAGCATGTGTCATCATGTGACGCCAACCCCATCAAGACCTCCAAAGCCAAACTGTCTTTGTCTGAAACTCGTCGAAAAACGCAGGCATCCTCCCGGATCTGGACTCCATGCACTCTACGAAGTCCGTCGATCGCAAGATGCATTGCTTCTCTGCAGCACTCAATGCCTGAATAATCTGTGTAGACAGCAACACCACGCAACAAGTGAACCCTGAGACGCAAGGCGGCCTCAGACTCTGTGCCTTCTTCACCTGTCAACGATGAGGCCAGGCAGCTGGGCCACGATCCTAGGTCCGCAGGTGTTGCTGCTCCTGGAGGGTGCTCTGACGCGCTGAAGTTTCGCAAAGTGGACCAGCCAGAAGCTGCAGAGCGTTTGCGCTTCTCTACACGACTGTGTGGGCTGCACATGACACAAAGCACAGGCACATCGAGCACTCTACAGCTCCTTTCACTACACCTGAAGGTTTTGTGTGAAACTGCTTGCTTGCAAAGCTGTTGTGCCTGCTTAACTGACCTTCTCACAAAACACAACAAGTACAGCCACATCTAGCAACTCCACCAGGGCTCAAAACAC